GGGGGGGGGGGGGTAAATGTTGAAATTAAGTGTTATTTCATGTGTTTTTAAGCAAGATGAAAAAGTAGAAACTCAATATTTAATGTTCATTATTCAGCTATGTTGGGATTTTGCAGCTTTTCTCTCATATAGTGGAGTTTTGGGGTTATTATTGTGGCAAAAATTGAAGCGAAGTTTTGTTGCCTTACTCAAAAAGAAATCGGAAACACTTTACAATAAGGTTCCATTTGTTAACTAGAAAATGACAATAAAAATACTTATAAAACATTTCTTAATCTTATGCTGAAAACAAGAACAAATATCTGCCAATGGGATAAAATAACCTTTATTTATGAGCTTTCTTTCTTTCTAACCTTGTTTTTTTATTTGAATTCAGTTTTTTAGCCATTTTGAATTTTTCACATTTTTCACATTTTCTAGGTATTTTGAGGGTTGTTTTAGGCATAAACTCTCTTAATTTTTAAAGACTTAATACTTTAAATTATTTTGCGTTTGAGTAAGAAAATTATTTTTTGCATTGCACCAACACCATATATTACATGTGGTTAAAAAAACATTACATCTAACATGCTATAGCCTGCAGCTAGAGATTTAATTGAGTTACTTAGACTTGTTTTATTGCCATTTATTGAATACTGAATTGAGCTATAATTAAAAGGCATTTGATTAAAGTTCACAATTTATTATTGTAAAGAAAAAAAACATTTCCAAGTGCGACATGCAGTATGCAAGCAATTTGCACAATCTAGCATGCAAGTATCATGTTAAATTGTCTATGAACCAAACACATTTCCATAACATCAAGGCAGAGGAACTACAAGATGGCAAGTATAACAATCTTAAACACCACTGTTTTATTGCACTGTTAAATGTAATCGTTCAAATCCTTTACATCAGTAATAAGACTCCAAGACATTTAAATCATACAACACATCATTAGGATACAAATCTGACCAGTAAATTTTAAACAATTCAGTGAGCAGTTACAATAAAAACTGTCTAAGACTGAGGGGAAATTGGACCATGAGTATTTGCGTTATTCTTTGCTTATCAGTGGTCGTAAGCCACACAGACATCTCTAACTGAGGGACTCAAATGTAATTTGCTGTGCAGTTGAAATATAAGTATTTGGCTGCACTGATTTTCTCTGTAACTCTCAGAATTTAATTTCTCAGAATTTCTCTGTTATTTCATCAGGCCGCTGGATTTGTTAGCTCACAGCGCTAGGTATGGGCTCCCTAAGGCCCCTTTCCCTTAAGTTCCTGGCTAGTCCATTGAGGGCTTTGTTCACTTGTGTATGTGTGTGTGTGTGTTAGGCTCTCTGCTCAGGGGACAGTGTGACCACTGTAGTGTAAAGCTAGCTCGCTTATAAACTTATGTAGAGGATCACTACCAGAGAGCTTGTAAGCCAACAGCTGCTTCACACACACACACGATCGGCAAACACATCAGTACATAAGCTTGCCTATATTTGCACTCTGAAAGACAGTGACCTTCAAAAATGCAGTTACAGCATGCATGTCAAAACTAAATGATTTATAAAAGATTCTCCGTGTAGTAAGCAAATTGACCAAACAGGCCTAGTTTTGTTTCTCTTTCTTTGCTTGTTCTCTCTCTGTTATATGCCAGCATATCAACGGGGAGCACACACGCTAATTTCACACATGCTAAGAGGTGTGGAGTATAGCTTTTGGATGCTGTGAATTATATAATTATGAGGTTTGCAGCCTCAGCTCCTGGAGTGTGAGAGAAGAGTGTGTATGGAGTGACTGCATGCTGAGGTGGTTATTTACTTTTACATTACTATGACTTTTCAACTGAACACCACTGGAATTTCAATGAGTGAAATAAGAAATAAACTACACTGATTTAACCCTCATGTTCGGTTAGTATAAAAACATACATAACATTGAAGTATAGGGTTGATATTTCAAGGGGAGAATTCACTAAGAATGAATTGCACCTGTTGATAGCATCATTTGCATGTGCAGTCTAAAATGGTTTAGCACCTCATTCACTAAAGGAATTATGCAAATCAGGTAACAGTCCCAACATGTTTAAGAAATTGTGCTGAATGCAATTTACACAGCACAGTTCAGCTTACAGGCCAAGTGGGAGTGCAAAGTTGTGGAAGATGCTGAATCAGTGGTTTAAAATGCCAAAAGTGTGCTCTATATATGTGCATCCATGATATATGCTTGAATATAACACTCTTCCCTATCATTTGATATTTTGATGAATTACTGCTGCCATGATTAATAGAAAATATACTGAAAAATAACTTTTTGAAAAATCTGTAGCTACTTTGTGAAATAATAGAGGGCTAAAGTGTTGATAATATCCGTCAAATAAGTTTTTAGTTAGGTCAGACGAACATAAACTACCAGCAATAATTTTTATTATGCTTTTGAAAACAAAAAAAAAACAAATAATAGAGGGCTAAAGTGTTGATAATATCCGTCAAATAAGTTTTTAGTTAGGTCAGACGAACATAAACTACCAGCAATAATTTTTATTATGCTTCAAAAAACAAAAAAAAAAAACAGGCCCTTTTGCTCACCAAGGCATTCACTGGATCTCAAAATACAGTAAAAAAAAAAAAAGTAATATTGTGAAATATTGTTGTAATTTGAAATCAAGCTATCTATCAAGCTAGCTATAAATTATTCCAAACTTTTGACTGGTAGTGTATTAAAAGAATTTGAAGAGAACTGTAAGGTTAATTTTGTGAATGATTTTTTTTTTACATATTAATCATTGGAAACACCGGGACCCTAAAAATTAAGAGTTATTGACTTCTGATTTTGTAATAAAATTGGAAAATTGGTACAGAAAATCTTCATAACTTTCTAATTTTATCCACAAAATTTCCGTTGTTTTTTCATCAGCAAACCAGTTTGCCCTAGTGAAATGCCATGCCGGAGAAACAGACTGTAAATAACCTGAGAAGGAAAAATACATTATAAATTAAACAATTTCTTTTCAACAGGACGAGTATCATAAACATCAAATGAAAAAAAAAACAAGAATGACGAATGAACAGCCAAACAAAAGTCTAACTGACCAGCAGGAGTGCTTGGGAATTGGAGTGTGAGTGTGTGCGTCCATATCTCAACAATTTATGTGTTCATCTCACTGAGACACACACTTACTCATTAGGGTCTTCTCCCTACCCTTTGTTTCCATGGAAACTTGCCAGACAAGAGTGAAAGGAAGGGAAAGTGAGAGAGGGAGCGAGCGAGAGAGAAGTGAGGCTGAAAGGGCCAATCTAGTCTGCTAGGATGGGAGTGGAGTCCCTGTGGGAATTCTTGTAAAGCTGGTGTAAATTGGCTATATCTTTTTATGACATACATCCTCTGAACTGCATCTCTTAAGGATTAATACTCGCATCCCCTCAGTATCATAAAGATTATTTGAGACACCGCTGTTCTGCACAACAGAATTTATTTATTGGATGATAAGCTTTTTAAGTAATATCTGACACCATACAGGTAGAGAGAAGTACTGTAAAAGTAAAACGAGGTTCTGTTGAAGAGTGCAGTATAATATTAAAGTGCTGAAAATGCCCCATATTCATGAACAGGAATCAGGCCTGGGGCAAATGGCAAAGAACTGTGGAAGAAAACAAGTGTGGAGTCAGAATGTAAGTATGTGAGCACTATTGTCTTATAAGTCTTAAACGGACATTTCACCCAAAAATGAACTTTCTGTCATCATTGACTTACCCTCATGTCAATACAAACCTGCATGGTTTTCTTTCTTCTGAACACTAAACAAGATATTTTGATGAATGTTGGGGTCAAAACAACACTGGATCCCATGGCCGTTCACTGTATGCACAAACACTGCAACATTTTTCAAAATGCTGTTTGGAATGACATGAAGGTGAGGGTGAACCAGGGACGCGGGAAGTAGGGGTTCTGAGGGGGCTGCAGCACCCCCTGTTTTCACATGGTTGCAAATGCAACGCCAAGTTTGTTGATTTAAATTTATTCAGTTTTAGCATTTAATAATTTATTTGTAATGATCTCTGAAATGTAAATTGTAAGTGGGCTATAATAAACCCATGTTTATCTTTATAAACATGATTAATTTTACTTGTGATGTTTTCTATATGGGATGATTAGCCTAATCCTCATGATCACGTGACGCTAGTGCGTGGTATCAGACATGAACTGTACAGAATGCGAACAAGATTAACTTTAATACAAGGAGATAATGGCGCAAAAGCGAATATCAGATTTTTTTAAATGCCCATCCCAGCAAAAACTTTCCAAAATCGGCATCCAAACAACACCAGCCCCAGCACCGACGTAAGTGAACCAGCCCCCCCTTTCACCCAGCACGGACACACACAGCACCCCCAACCGAAAACATCTTCCCGCGCCCCTGGGGTGAACTATCCCTTTAAGTCTGGTCATACCTTTGATACACATCATCTCACCAGCTTATCTCACACATGGGCTAGATGCTGACAACAATTTGAATAAAAACAATGCCA